AGCCACACAGCACCCCTCCAAGCCGGCAGCCAGCTCCCCGCAGGCCTCCTCCCCTGCCCTGCGCATCGCGTTTGATCCCCGCAGTGCTCAGGGCACGGGAACCGCTGCAGCCGCGCACCAACCTGTTCCTTTGGGAGGGCCGGAGCCAACGTAATCCGACAGCACTGTCCCACTCCCCACATCGTTGCCTTTCATGTTGGTCACCAAGAAGTGATGCCATTCCCTGAAAGGAGAAGGCAAAAAAACAATCAGACTGCGTCACAGCCCCAGATAAGACCCTTCGTTAATCCAAGCTGCTGCTTTTCCGTGAGGCTGTCAGTGCAGGATGGCTGCCGTTCCTGGGTTGCCAAAACCAAGAAGCACCAGTCCGAGAACAGTACCTGCTTCCTTCGGGATGCAGAGTCTGTCAAAACCAGCTCAGTCATCCTGCCTTGCAGCTCCGGGAAACCCAGAGCCTGACCCCTAAGAGCAGGTACTCCACACGCTTCTGATTTGACAAAGGTGGGTTGGTCTCAGGTTTAAAACTCCCCTGCTACACAAACAGACCTAATTCCAACTCACACGTGGGCCACATTAGAGCGAGCAGCAGATGCTGCACTTCTCCAAGCTACAACAGACCTCCAAACACCCCTGGCAAAAGCAGCTGCTTTTCCCCATGCTGTCCCTGTCTCAAGGAGAGATGCAAGGACACTGTTACTGTCCTAAGCCACAGACTCACTGCTGCACCTTAGGCAGAGCACATTCCTGACCTCCTTCTAAGCCTCTGCTCAGACCAAGAGGGACGCTCCGTTTTCTCCCAGCAAGAGAGGGAGTTGCCCACCCCCATTACCTGAACTTTGGGTCCTTCCTACTGGGAGCATCTGGGTCTGTGAGAACCAGGGTGTAAAGCTTCTGGGGATCGCAGCCATCCCACTCAATGCTGGTGGGGCGATGCTGGACCTGCAGGGATGACAGGGTTAGCACGAGCAGCCAGCACCACGCAGCCTGCGCCAGCCAGCTGCGCTGCACACGGAGGCGACCTGCGACCAGCGC